GATACGCAAAAGTGTGTGCCCTAAAAATAATGTCAGTTCTTCCAAAATGTGAAGGATTTAGGACGCACATTTTTGCGTGGCTATTACCTTCTTGTCCAACGAACCGTCAACTCCTCCATGTTCCTCTTCATGGCTGCAACGAACCCAAATCCCCTTGTCTGCCAATGATTTCCCCATGGCGTTCTGTGTGCATTGATAAGGGTTTTCACCTTCATCCCCTTCTACGCTGACAAGTTTGATACATTCCCCTAAAAAAGAAAAATAATTTCTTATTCTTTTATTATCATCATCTTCATTACTACTTGACAGGTGAACGATCTTTTCTCTGTACCTAAAGCAAAATTGATATCAATCTTTCTTTTAGCAAAGTAGAAAATTCAAGCAGTGAAGGCAAGAATAGTTGAATGTTATATGATTATGAACAGGGGCAAATGCGTAAAATAAATAATGATTCTTTTTGTTATGGATGGTGCACAGGAAAAGGGCATGCTGGTGAAGACTGCAAGCTTTACACATTAATATCCATTATGTTGAAGATCTGATACCCCTCTTATCTACAGAGCAGTTCCCAGCTGGTACCCTATTTTTCCTTATCTCCTGTGCAAGTTTAAACTATTCTTTCATTGCTATTGCCAATTTAATCAGCTCCCGTAACTTGTTATGTGATTGTGTCACTGTTAATTCAGCCAAATTAAAACCGCAATTAAGCCTTTTGCTAGTTATATGCTTTTTTTACCAGGGATCCAACATTTTGGAAGCTGACAACCTTTAGAATGGACTACTACCAAGAGTGGTGGATGAACTCTTTGATGCTATAAACTTTTGTGGTGAAGCAACTGCTTACAAGATCAAACTTTCAATGGTATAAGAAACCTCTTTTCATGATTCCATTTGAACTAGAATCTGAGACATTGTTTTCAAGAGTCCTTTTCTAGATGCAATTTAATTATTGTATTATACACGCAGGTGGAAATTTATATGGAGAAAGTTAGGTTAGCAACTGATAGTGTTAGCATTGCTGCTTGTGGTCATCATTTCTGTAACACATGTTGGGTAGGTTTGTAATGATAATACAATGCTCTCTGTTTTCATCTCATTATACATTTACATGTTTATAATTGGTATCCTGATTTCTGTTTCTTTTAATGTTTTTATTTATTCTGGTAGCTTACATTAGCACATGTATCAATGATGGTCGTGGATGTTTGAATTTGAGATGCCCAATTCCATCATGTGGTGCTGTTGTTGGTGTGGACATGGTCAATATGAATTGGTAAATGTCTAAACTACCCCTTCACCCTTGTTACATGTTTATCTCTCTCTCTCTCTCTCTCACTATCTCTCTCTCTGTATATATATCTTTCTTTTTTTGATGTTTGTATAATGATATTTCAGGATTCTAGCAAATTCTAAGCCTTGTCCAAAATGCAAGCGTCCAATTGAGAAGAATCAAGGTTGTATGCACATGACCATGCTTGGTGTTCTTGTCATTTTCTGTAATGTGAAAGGTTGCTTGGTAATTAAGTATTCAGATCAAAATATTTGGCAGGGCTATTAAAGATGAAATTTGAAATGAACCTCGAGCACTTGTTATATAAACCATGAAAATTAAGTTAACAAATACTTGTTCAGGTGAATGCTCTTTTATCTTCTTTAGAGATCGATAATCATGGGGGGTTGGTGAGGGAGCACATGCCTGGTAGATATGCAGAGTTGGATCAGTATTGGGGGGAGTCGCAAGTCATGGGGCCCCAACAACACGGTGGGGACCCGAATGCTTGGGCTTTATCCTTTGAACGACAACATGGTGCTGGGGGTTGGGCTTCTGAACACCAATCCAAAGTTTCAGGTTACTTTACTTACTTTGAATTAAAATGTCTTTTTTTTCATAATCAGGATATTATTTATTTGGTTTGGCAAATAATATGCAAAATTGCAAGTTCCTTCAGTTTGTTTCAAAGATTAGTCGTGGTGAATTGACTATTGAGGATAACCAGGTCAGGCCTACAAGTGGGGACTGGGCAAATGAATATCAATAGCCATATAATGCAGGCCCTTCCTCTACCTCTTGGGCAGATCAGTATGCACGTGAAGAGGCAAGTAAAAATTTTCTCCTCTTAAAACTTCTTGCATCACATAAACGCATAACTATTGTTGGAGATGAAGACCAGGTAAGTATATAAACCTATCCAGATTCTATAAATAATAATAATAATACATTGAGTTTATGATTTATAAATCATGATGCAGTCAATCTTCAGTTTCAATGGTGCTAATGTAAGCGGATTCAAGTCATTTCGCAAAGATTTTCAACCTCAGAAGGAGGTTTGATTAGAACTTACATAATCCTTAATTGTTTTTTTGTGAAAATATGATGCTCTTTGTTGCACTTTACCCTTGTATTTTTCTAAAAAAATACCTCTTGTTGTTCTTTACATGGCTTTGTTTCAGGTTAGACTAAATAAGAATTACCGTTCTACCCGTTGTATAGTTGATGCTGCATTATTTCTTATACAAAATAATTCAAAAAGATGTCGGTTAAAGAAGGGTTTGACTGATAAATCTTCTGGTTCTAAGGTAACTAACTTATTCTAACATACATTTTTATAAATTATGCATGAAAATGATGAAATATATAATATAAATCTGATTTGCATGATTTTGATTATAAGATTATTCACTCAGATTACTATCAAAGAATGTTGTAATGAGGATGCACAATGTTCATTTGTTGTTGAAAAAATATTAGAACTCACTTCTTCATTTGTCAAAGGCACTTTTGGAGAGATTGATGTTCTTTACAGGAGAAAAGTGTAAAGGTTTGGTTGGGAGCTGTCCTTGATGCCACCAAAAATACTTTGATTCAAGGCAGTTTAAGATTCTCTTATTGCGTGTGATATTTGAAAATGAATTGAATTGTGGACTGGTGGTTTTCTCTACAGCTTGAGTATGATATTTTGGAATATGTTGTGATCGAGCGGCTTGTACAAGGGGGTCATGAAAAGCTAAAAGATGATGGCCTAAACTTATCATACTGGCTTCAGTCTTTGGCATCATTTTGGGGTCATCTTTTCTCCTTTCCACTTCATCTTGCTGCCTCTTTTTTTAATCTATGCTCCTAGAATAATGAATCCACAATCTCCTTGCAACCCTTTCCTCTACAAACCAATTCTCTTTTTGATAGTCATGCA